ATCTGAATCACTTGAAAAAAACACGGGGGTGCTTAACTTTTTTCCAGGTGTATATATTGTTGCTATATATATGGCTATGATACTCTTAACTCTTTCCATATGGAATCAGCCAATGTGACCAATCTTGTAAACACAAAGTAGTCAGCAGAGTTTCCATACTATAACTTTAAATACGTTCTGCATATCTTCACTAAATTTGGCAAGCTTATCAGTGAACATTACAAAACGTTTGTACACAAAACAATCAGATTTTCTAATTAAGTATTTTTACTAAAAATTTGTCTGTGAATTTATGAAGTCATATGAGCCTTACAAGTATAAAGTGATTTTCATGTTAACATTAAAAATATTTTTCTTCATCCATAAATTTTCACATTTCATTTGCATAACCCCTAAAACCTCATAAATATCAAACGTTTTTCTTCAGTAAAATTGTATATTGCATCTCTTATTTTCTCTATCCTAATTCTATATGAACTTGGTCAATTTGATTGATCTTGTAACCAATAAACAAAAAATTAAACAAATCTAAATTACCCTTCTTTTATTTCTAGAATGACAGTAGCTTGTAACAGGAAATTACAATTGTTTATACTAAATAGCTTAAAGCTTATACCAGTCTACACCAGTTTGTACTTAAGTTTTATCATTTTATAGCCTCTGACCATGTTTAACTAATAATTCCACCACATAAGTTGTAAATACCTTGGTAAACACACAGCTCACATTAAATTATCGATTGATGTAATGCATGAGCTGCTCGCGAGCAAACCCTGTGAAGAGTTATTATTATTATTTTTTCATTATCTTACATAATGTAACCTAATATGTTTCTATTCTTACATTTTAGTTATTTTTTTAACAATAAATAAAGAATATACATGAAAAACATGAAATGTAGTATTTAACTTTGACCTCTTATTTTTATGCTGTCAGTTGTCAATGAAATTTAAGCCTACTTTTGCTTATAATAATAGTTCTAGTACACTATATTTCTATGTACCTAAAAACACAGAATAACAACACAAAAAACAAACAATGTCCTATATGTTTATAGTTTAACTGGCTGACTAACAAAGACAAGAGGAGTTTAAATTAGTTCCCTTTGCTGCTCAATCTGAACACCAAGAGATAAACTTTCAAACTGAAGATGAAATATACTCTATACTGAAAACAATGTAGCATTATATGTCACTTGATAAATTAAAACTCTGCCTTTCTGTTGGTAATAAATGATATACTATAAAATGCTAGAGTGGCAATTTGTGAAAGAGAGGATATGACAGATGGGTATGATTTTCTAGTTTATGACTCCATAAAGAAATAAGATTGAATGATAGAAAAATTAGATTTTGCCTTAGTAATATCTATATTACAATTCTATACTTCAGAGAGGGATGATAAATAAATTAGAGATGGGAGAAGACCTAGAGAACAAATGTCACAATTCTCACACTGGGGAAGATTGAGGACTTTATAAAATATTTCCTTATAAAATAAAGAATTTAACACTTAAATAACATCAAAATCTGATTTATTAACTACCTTTTGGTGCCAAATTTGTGTACATTGATAATGAAGTAGTTTAATTACGTTTTGAATGTAAGTCTATAAAAGGTTGTGAGATGCATACTTTGACCTATCTGTAGCAAAGGGTTAATCTCACCAAATTTAACAGGTTTTAGTAAGATTACAATAGATTTTCTTTGGAGAAGTGAGGATATGTTACCTACTAAATGAGTTAACAATCACAATGTCACATTACGTATAACAATGATAAAAAAGATAGAGCAAGATTTTAACTGATTACTATTTAGTAGTAGAGATATATTTGTCAAACTTTTCAGAGCATAAAACTATTCTAACCAAATTTACTTAAGGTAGTAAAAACTAGAGACATAAACAGAAACAGAGTCCATGAGAAATTATTTACTCAGTGGTAAAGATAAAAAAAATAATGACAAGCCCTAATTTATAGTTCTTTATGTCAAAGGTTATAAATTATATTGAAGAAAAAAGCCTATGTACAAAAAATTCATCAACAAATGTGTTTCTCCTATTTTTTGTATCAAACTATATTAAATATTAATGACATTTCAGAATAATACAATTTATCACTTTCAAGTTTGTGTTGAATCTTTTTTATAACATCCAGCTTCATTTACTAGAAATGCCCACTTTAGATTAATTTTCTAAAGCCTTGGATATAAACACCCATTTTGGAGTAGATGATTTTAGTCAATGCATTATTTTCAAATATCACTAACTACTCAAAACTAACTGTTTTTAATAGATATTATGCAAAGTTTATTTGTATATCATGATAATAAAGTACTTTAATAAAATTTTGAATGTAACTCACTAAAACCTTGTGACATGCTCAGGAAAAGATGACTGTAATGAAACTTTTAAGAGATTACCTGATCAACTAAGTACTTTTCTTTCGTGGTGTTACAAGATGAGAAAACTGCAGGATTCTGTGAGTGAAGTCCCTCCTTTCTCATCTCTGGGTCTTCTTTAACACCAGGTGGATGGGGAGAAAGTGTTGGCATAGCTGGGTCTGTGGAAGAAGGCTGAGACAAGGCACCTTCGAGCAGCAAAGGAGTGCCTGGATGAGAAGACTCTACAGACATTGGCTGCCCTGTTAATGTCTGTAAATGTTGTAAGGTATTTGAACTATTTCCCATCAAACCTACACATTTTTGAACAAACAAATATCTGGAATTTGCTCCTGCTAATCCAGGAACTGGAGGGGCTCTTAAAGTAGCTGGGCTGTCTATGTTTGCAACAAGTGAATGGCTAGAAACATGACTCCTCTTATGAAATGGTACTGTTCCTCTTGTTCGTTGCTGTCCTCTTTCTTTCTCTGCTATGGAGTTGGAAGCAATACCATGATTAAGAGGACTTGAACAACTAGAATTAGCTCCAACCCCACAAGATACTCTATTTCCTCCTGATGAACACCTTTTACTTCTAGACCTGAAAAATACATTAATTAATTGTTTCTATACTGAGAGAAAAATTGTGAGAAATCTAAATTGAAATACTGTTCAAACCAAATATCAATGGTTACATTATGTTTCTCCAGATAAAGGTAAAATAAAATAAAACAAACTCTTCAGGGGTCATGTGTCTGGGTAAAGTGCCTTTAAACTTCACCTTCATAGTTTCTATTTTGTTTTTTATTTCCCCAGTGATGATATTCAAGTCATCCTCACCTTTCAGCTCAGTCAATAACCCATAGTGCCAAATGCAGTTTCAAAACTCACTGCATTTTCAAAAAACTCTTGACATAAGTATATCAAATCAACAATATACTACCTGCTTAACCATATTCTCCCACCTCTGCATGCATAATATAGGCATAAGTCAATCTGCATGATCAATCTGATCTCTCTCAAGTGGTATTTATGTCAATGCAAATTACATGCATTGGTACTTATTTGAAGTTGAGCTTAAACAATAGTTGACTGTTTTTTGTACTGACAAACATAATTGGCTTAGTGATTATCACTAACAGTGGATTACAGAAGAGTAACCATAATGATTGGGAAAGGTGTCACGTTTTTTTGATACATGGATTGCTGTATGTTTGATTGGATTTTTTTGTTATGGGAGGTAATCCTTAATTATGCAAGGTATGTACCATAAAGTGTTACCATTTTGAATAGTTTATATTCACTAAATTGCAGTTTAAGCATGCAATCAAATCATTCTGTGCATAATGGTATTCTTCATTCACTCAGAATGTCTCTAGCAAATTGGCTAGGTGTAAAACCTTCAGAGAAACCAGAGTCAAATTTTAGCCAGAAACAAAAGGCAAATTAAAATTAGAGAATGGAAAGTCAAAAATGTTTTTAATCCGAATGACTCCAATTGGTATTTGCAAGATATCAAGGGAATTTGGTAATGCTCAATTTGAAAAGACACAGGGAAAAGCTATGTATATGCATATGGACATGAAAATCCTGCTAAGACTACAAATCAAGACTGGCTTTACAAAATATAAGTCAAAAATAAAATAAAAAAGTAAAGAGAAAGACAGTGAATTTAGAAAATGCTTTTGTATCACTTTGAATGAAAACATCATTTTATTGATTCAAACTGAAAAAAAAAACATAGATTCTAATGAAAAACTTTTAAATAAAAAAGTACAATCATCATTAATTAATGCTTCAAATTGCATATGTATGTTTATACATATTCATAGAAACACACAAATGTAATGGAAATAATTAACCCCTAAATAAACAACATTTCCATTATTAAACAGTATTTTCACATTGTGAATTCATTGATACAGAAGTGTGAAGTCTTCCAATTTTCAAGAACTTCTCTCTGTTGGCACATGGATAAAGAAGCGAGTTCTACCAGTTTTTGGAGTCTGGTTTATTTGATTGTTTGTTTCAAGTTAAGCACAAAGATGCACAATGGGCTATCTGTGCTCTGCCCACCACAGGTATCAAAACCCGGTTTCTAGCATTATAAGTCCACAGACATAACGCTGTGCCACTGAAGGGCAAGAGTCTGGTTTAATCCCTGCTATTGTGATAAAAAACAAATAAACATCCAACATACTGTAGTTAATGTAATATTTTCTGAATTTTTTTTAAAGCAAACACTTAAAGCAGAGTTTACAAGTATACTATTAATTATATATTAGTGACTTTGTATACCAGAATCTAATACTGTTTTCCTTTTCTGTTAGAATATTTAGGTTAACACAAAAGATTCATACAAGGTAGCTTGAATACAATTTACTATTTATGTATAGAACCCAAATATTTGAGGTAAAAATGACATATTTTTTTTTCTCTTAACACATTAGTAATATTTCAATAGCATCATATCCAAACTTTTCAACAAAACAATTCATTTTATATCTAAACTTTTCAACAAAATAATTTATTTTATAGCCTTGGTTAACAGAATCTTTAACATTAAACTAAATGGTGAGAACAACAAAACTACCTCATACAAAAACAGTCGATTTGAGTACGTGGGTCATTAAACTCCCACTGTAGAAATGATAATGAATCATCAGGTTCCGAGTTCTCAGTGAAAGGAGGATGATGGTGTATGATGTTATCCTGCCTGGTATCAGACTTCAGTCGGTGAGTAGTAAGAGAGCACACTTCATCAGGAAATGATGAAATCTGATGGCCTGACTGATTATTAAGGAGTCCAGGCATTGCAGTTTCAACATATCTGCTACATTGAAGACTACTGGCTAAACATGTATTGTAAGGAGAGGTGGGTGGAGTCAAGACATTCATGTGGCCATTAGGTTTCTGGCTGGACTGTGGAGCAAGAGTAATGACAGATGGAGCAATAGTGCCTCCTCCTGATGATAGATTGGTCATCATTTTTTCATCATTCTCAGTAACAAATACATAACAGGACGGATACTTCATTTTCACTCCAGCTACAAATAAAGGTCAGTAAAACAGTGAATTAAAATATAGTAAAATTTAAATGTTATTTTACAAACAGCACTAAAACTTTCAAACAAAGACAGTCTAAAATATAATAATCTTAATGAAACTCATTAAGAACAAACTGTAACAAAATTACAATTTCAGGTTTTACAAGATAACAGTATGTGCAAGGAAAAACTTAATAAACACATACCAACTTTGACCTCTACCAAACATGGCATGTCATCAGAGCCTGTTGTTTCTGTCTTATTCAAAGGATAAAATTGCTGCCACTCTACCAACAGCTGTTGTATCCCAGGATCATTTTGCTTGTATGTCTGCCCTGTTAAGGTTCCTGCTAGTCCATAAGGACTAAGAATAACTACAAACGATATAAGAGAAATACAACAGTGATTCTTACGAGTGATTGTATTTATAACTTTATTTAAAAAGATAAGTTACCATACATTATCTTCTCAAAAATAAAGGTAAAAGTAGTAAGAGTACAACTTACAGTATTTCCAGACAATTTCAGGTATCAACTGTTCTTTGGGCATTGAAACATATGTACTCATACAAATTGTAAAATGAACTGAAATAAGTTATGTGATGGCAAGAATAAGTACTCATTTTCTAGGAATTACAATTACATATGAGTCATGAATTCAATTTATTGATGTAATTTATTACTTATGAGCATTGATTACATTAATTAGTGTTACTTAAATTAAACAACTTGTCGAAATTAGTGTTTCTGATTATTACCATATTTAATTACACCAACTATACCAGTAATCGAAATATTGCCATTATGTTTTCTCATAACTTTTTCAATTAATTCAAGGTTGCTCACCTTAATTAATGCCATGATTCATGAAAATAATCAAGTAGTTGAAATTAGTATTTCCAATTATAACTATTTTGATTATTGCAACTATCCAACTTTTGTGAGAATAACCAATTAATTGAATGTAACTGACCTATGAGCCTGGCCATTAACTGATTAGCAAAATTAAATTAACTGCCCAGCTCTACTTACAATAAAGTTTTATTATAAATATTTATAAATATTGCCATTATGTTTTCTCATAACTTTTCAATTAATTCAAGGTTGCTCACCTTAATTAATGCCATGATTCATGAAAATAATCAAGTAGTTGAAATTAGTATTTCCAATTATAACTATTTTGATTATTGCAACTATCCAACTTTTGTGAGAATAACCAATTAATTGAATGTAACTGACCTATGAGCCTGGCCATTAACTGATTAGCAAATTAAATTAACTGCCCAGCTCTACTTACAATAAAGTTTTATGAGGTTTATTTAAATTTGTTTCTAATAACAATACAACTTTTCAAATCTTAAATAATAATCACTAGGCAATCATCAAAATGACATCCTTTAACTATTTCGGTCCCTAGGACCAACTCGTAACCATTTTGTGCTTGTTATAGTTTTCATGCTATAACTTTTAAATTATTAAGCAAGTGTTAATAAAATTCGGCAGTTTAGCAGTAAACATTACCATGCTTTCATATGCAAACTATAAATTTTTTTATTAAAACTTAAGGTTTGTAAATCAGTGTCTTTCTCATGCTTTTTTCTTTTCGCATGTTGCCTATCTATCATGCAAAGTAATTTTCATTTTAAGATTAAATATACTTTTATGCATCAGAAAATGTTCAAATTTCACATGCAAAACCTTTATAATGTCCAGATAGTTATCAAACATTTCTTAAGAAGAAAATTTATATTTTATCTGTTATTTTCACTAATAAATCTCTGTATGGGTTCGGTAGATTTCACTGATCTTGCAACCACCATAAAAAATTATGAAATAAATATAAATTATGCCTCTTTCATTCTTGAATGAACAAAAATTATAACACGAAAACATAAATGTTTAGTCTTAATAGCTTAAATCTCATAACATTATACATTTATATATATATTTATTATTTTGATTATATTGACCTTTTAGCCATGCCTGGCTAACAATACAGAAGTTACAATGTTGTGGTTCACGTATGTATCAAATAACATAAAACTGACCTTTGGTCTGCACAAAGTAACTTGTCTTGGTTGTGTTTTAGTAGACTAGTATTTTGTAAAATACAGTCACATTTCAATTATTATACATTATATATGTATATAGATTATTGCTATTTTTGAAATAAGTTCTTAAAGTTATTTTTCTTAAAACATAGAACAGTAAAGCAAACAACTATCTCTTCTAGTTATGACCTTTGTACTCGGTTGCTATTTGACATAGGTTGCTAAGCCTTCAGAAATTTTGCAAGTGGAGGATATGAAAGAGAATAATGTTTTTTAAGTTTTATATATATACATTTGAATAACTAAAAAATTATAAATTACTACATCGGTACCATAGCATTCCACTATAATTTATGAACCTCAGTAGCTAAGATATATTTTAGTCTAAAAACATATGAAATTTCGAGCAGACTAAAGACACACCCTACCTCATTGAAATATTGGTTCAAAAGAAAGAAATGTATTGGAATTATTACATGAGCAATATCTTGCAAATAGAAAAAATATAACCTTCTTATTTTATGATCTAGCTTGTCATTATCTTTAGACAGAAATTCATGCTTGTTAATATTTTATGACAGTGGTTTCTCCATGGGGGTGCAAAGCTGTGGCTGGGGGGGGGGGGTATAGTCTTCTGCCAGGAGAACCCAAAAATAACAATAAAAAGAAGCAGAAAAATTGAAGTAGCTGTAGAATAGTTAAAAGAAAGAAACTAAGAGTCTGTGTTTATGAATTTACCTTGTACTTTACAGCCACCAGTTTTCTTTTGCCTTTAATTTTTTTGTCCATGGAGAAAGTACAGTATGTACCAGTGTGGATGTGAGACAGCCTCCAGCTATATATTGTCTTACCAAGCAACATCTTCAAACAGTTCAAGCTCACCACTCTGAACTGACAGGTAGTGTCCATCTTCATTGCATCATTGAGGAATTTATGTGCTGAATGACATTACTTTTTCTTTTGTGTGGGAATAAATACATTTTAATACTCTAAGTCTCAGGACTTGACCCTTTCTAGACGGGTGAAAGACCATGTCATCTTGTTTGTTGACTCTCATTCAAAATTTCATTGAACTACTATTTCATGAATTTGTGTCAATAACTTTGGTATCAAACTGTAGATTATAATTCAAATTTTAGTATTATACCCTTACTCAATTTCTTAATTTAAAATTTAATATTAAATTCATTTAATTTTTGTGTGTTATGTGGTATGTTGAATGCAGCACTGGTTCAAATTAGATGTTTGTGATGTCAAAATACTACGTCTGTAGTTTCATATGAATTAGGAACTCAAATTACCGGTAAAATTATAAATTATTTTATGAAGACATAACCCAATTTTTCTAATATTTAATTACCATTATTTAACTTTATAATGCATGGGTGGGTGTATCCCATCTCAAGGACAAAATTTAATCACTGAATTAAAAAAGTATTAAAGAAAATAAACTTGTAGTCTTTTTATCACACATAAAAACAATTTCTGTTAAAATTTCCTGAATGTTTTCTGAGCATACTACGGCACACATAGACCCTGAGAGGAAAGTCAAATAGTTTTAAGTAAAATAGAATTAATTTGACTTTGTAACTTGAATATAAATGTTGTTTTATCAACTTTTAACCAATTATTGTTTCTAACCTCAATTGTCATGTTGTAATGTAATTTCCTATATTTAAACTACAAGAAATAATAGGCTAGTGATTTAAGCACATCATGAAAGCATTTTTTCTGTATAGGCTAATACAACTTCCAGTTCAGCAAAGATTAGCATAAATATCAGGACAAAGTGATAAAAACTTAGCTTGGTGATGTTACTAGAAAAAAATATGTTTGTGAAGAACTTCCATCATAATTACAATCCTTATTTGTTTTTTTTCATTTCATACTTCACTTGAATTATAATGTAGAAAATTTAATGTTTTTTGTATAACAAGATGAAGCAGGCTTTGTTAAATTATTTTGCACTCAAACATATCAAGTTTTGTTGTCTCAACAAGCCTGTTTACATTAGGCCTTATCAGCCTAAATAATTTCTTAAAAGAGAAACAACAACAACAATATATATATATATATATATATATATATAATAAGTACTAATACTACTTTACTAACTTATTAC